GTTCTGCTCACTGATGGCAAGAATTTTGATTTGATAAGTGTTCTGACCCTTTGAAGTATTTGTGCAGTGTCCCTGAGGATTTGCTGTTCCTTTCAGTTGAAAATTAGCTGCTGCTTTATATATATTGGGGACGTAATATAATTTTTTAATAACCTCGTAAATATTGTTGTGCCTCTGAATTTCAGTAATTAAAAAAAAACAACCAACAAACTTTAAATATGTATATATCCTCTGTGGTTCCCTCCCCTGGTACATTCTGTACGTTTTAGAAGAGATACTGATCTCATACTTTCTGTTACTTTGTACAGAAGGACCAGCAGTGGTCTACTGGAAAAATACCGAGTTGAGTTACCAGGAGCCCAGCTCAATCAGGCTCATATTTCCTGAGAATGAATGACAGTAGAATTACAAACACTGTATTTCAGATTCTAGGGCACTCGATATTCATTAGCAAAGTTTATAAAATAAATGGGAAATATTGTAAAACAGTGATGGTCCTACTTTTAATATGCTTTTCTGATCCAGATCCTTACTTCAAATTTCACTTAATTATATAATACTAGTTATAACACTGGTTATAATAATATAGAAATAAGTTCTAAAGTTCTATTAATATTTTACAGAATTTTTAAATGGATTTTAAGTAGTATAAACAATATGATTTTAGACACAATGATTTGAGATACATTAAAATAGTGCCCTGTAAACTGAAATTATTTTAGTACTGGTCTGGAACTTGAAACAAATTTAAGTACTGTGGCTTCTTCCTTCCTTCCTGAAGGGTATAGAAGTTTTATTTCGGACTCTGATGTCAGTGCATGACTGACACTTAGTACAGGTCGTAGTGACTATCAACATAGTAAAACTGAAAAATACAGTGGCAAAGTAAATTACAAAAAAGCAAGCAAGATAAAGGAATGCAGCTAATAGAAAGGGTGAGTGTCGTACCTGGGCGCCCTTTGCTGTCCTCTACCTGTGGTGGTACGTATCTTTCGATCTCTTTCTGAAGAGTGCATTTGTCAGCTTACAAGGTATTTGGGACATGAAACCATTTTGGAAGAATAACTGAGTGAAAATAAGCTGCAAAAAGTTTTCAGTGTTTTACAGATTTTGCTCTGGTTGAGATGAATGATCCGCATGTAAGTTTGTACAGCTCACAAACAGAGCCATAAGCCAGCTTTTGAAAATCCCCCAAATGCCCTGATCATTCTTCAGGTTTAGATTGCTGCTGTAGCTTCTTGACCTGAGTAATGGGTGCCCTCGGAAGAAAAACTGTAGGAACTTGCAATGTTATACGTAGTTTTGCTAAAACTTGGAGTAGCAATAAAACCTTTCACCAGAGCCCCAGGCTTGCATCTCAAGACTTCAGGAAGAAAGCCTATAACTTCATAACTGAAGAGTAAATAGATACCCAGCATTGACTTTATGGCTGAAGAGTAAATAGGTATTTTTTTAACTTTGGAGAATTTTTTGGTCACCCCGATAATAATATTGGTGAAGAGCTTGAAAAATGTCTGAGTTGGGAGTTCTGGATGTGTTGTCTGATGCATGGGCAGAAATCAGTATTTTACTATGCCTAGTTATTAAGATTTACTGAGCTATTACACTTCATTTATTGTATGTTATTTTCTAGGGCATCTCATGTCATTTATAAATGTACTCGTTGTTTATAATCCTTGACACAGAAGTCTTTTTCCATTTCACCATATTTCTTCATCTGTTCAGGTTCTATCTTGCTTAAGGTCTGTCTGTTCTGTTTAAAAGCATACAATATTTAGGAAAACTGGGGGGGGGGGAGAGCACCCTCTTCAGTTTCTTTTTTTTTAAGCCAAGAGACTGTTAAACAAGAGCCAAAGTCTACTTTCCCTGGTCAAAAAAGGTCAGAGAGTATGAAACATCTCTCATTCTGTATGCTGAGAGCTTTGTTGAGTATCTCCTGGGCTCTAGTAATGTCTCTAGCTGTGCACGCTGGACTATCACCTTAAAATAGAGTTAAATGGAACCAGAAGCAATACTGTGGCTGGTACAGTTAGTATGAGGGAATATGGAACACTTACCTGTTTCATTGCTCCCAAACATGAAATATATGAGAGAATATCAGACATCCATGGCTGAAGGTTGCATGAAAAAGTTAAGGCACTGAATTGTAATTCTTGGGTTCTATCACTTGTTGAAACAAGATTGTCACTTTTGGCTTAGAGCCCCCATCTGTGACTATACCAACAGATATCCTCATTATTTTGCAGATTTGCCAGAAATATGTTAATGCCTTTTTTTTTTTTCCCCTAACCAGCTGTCCCAACTGAAACAAAAAAAAGCTACATTAAATACTACAGAGATGCAACATAGATGTTTTTCTACTTTTCTTGCATTAAGAGTAAAGGATACAAGTTTATAGTTTTCAAACCATCTTAAGCAGGAAGAATCTTCCACTCACGGTAAAATGCATTGCTGCATGCAGAAAACCTCTCAATAGCTATGCTTGAGAATTTTTCTGGTTAACAAAATGCAGTACATCAGAATGTTGACAGGTTGTGTTGATATGAGCAGACGTTGTGGTGGAGTGCAAGTGGGAACTTTGTTATGTTTTCTGCTAAGTTTGGTTGATGCCTGGCTGCAGAAACAGCTCAATGTTTCCACTTCGAGATTGATTGAGAAATTTAATAGAAAAAAAAGTGGGCTTTTGCCAGTTGCACCATAACATGGGAACTTTTCAAAACCTTGAAATATTTCACCTTTTTTTTTTTTTTCCCCCCTGGCAAGCTTTATTTACCAGTAGTATGTTATGTCATCTGTTTTAATCTGGGCGATTTGGAAACAAGCTAAAATATTTTCACCCAGAAGTCAGCAGTTAGGCAGGACTTTGGCCAGTGTGTCCCAGAGATGGTGCCTGGTTTTGGGTGAATAATCAGTCTGCAGGTGTAAGCTCTTCACTCTGTAGATAAGAGGTTTCCAGACATGTTGTCTGCAGTACTCACCTTGATCTTATTTTCTAATATCTTATGCTTTTATGTCACCATTTGGAAAAATTCTGACCCACAGTAGGTTGAAGTGCAGACAGCTTGTAAGCCAGGCGGGTTTTTCTCTTTGCTTTTGTTTTCCTCAGATGTAAAAAGCATTCTAATCTTTGTAAGATTGCTCTTAAAATGAGATATTCAGATCCCATAAAACTTGCGTTCTGTTTCTATCGTACAAATATCATATCAAAGTTCGATTGCGTGCATCTTTGCAGTACCCCGATTTCATTATGTCATTGATTTTTGTCTGCAGCTATGAAGATTAGAAACATTTTTCTCCTTTGGCGTTTTGGGCAATCATTTGCATCAGGGGACTTCCATGAGTCCCGGCCTCTTTATGGTCAGCCAGGGGAGCCACATCTGTCCTCTTTCCTTTTGCTCCACCACGTGCTCCCTCCGCTCAGCAGTCGCATAAGCTTGGTCACTCAATGCTTTATGGTCTGGGAAAAAGAAAATCTGTAGCATACCTATGGGGAGTATTTGGCAGATGCTATGGTACTTCAGAAATGGGACAATACAAATCCACCTATCAGTAGGTAATATTCTGGGTTTATTTTTGGTGGTACTTGAGTAAGTTCCAGCGGTGCCTTCAGCTCCAGGCCAGGCAGCCAAAGGTGTTGCACAGTTTAAAGCCGTGATATTTAAGTAGAACATGAATGTGCTCTTTGTTTGGAGCCGTTACTCTGCTTTTAAAGTTTAATGACTTGTTTTTATTTTGTGTGTGTGACAGAAATCTCAAACTAATGTGTTAATATAGCTAGTGGGGAAATTCACTTAATGGAGCCTTAATTTCATTATATTGGTTAAACTTCAGTTATAAATACTTGACCTTTTGAAGAAGAAATTTTAATGCAACAGAGGACTTCCATCATGATGAACTAAAGATGGGGTTCCTTGGGGTTTTTGCTTTGTTTTTTCATAGTATGATTCACATTTTAGCTCAGGAAGAATACCCGATTTTTATGGTTGTGCAAGTGCTAACTGATGACTGTAGTGGCTGCTTATGTGTAAAAGTAAAATTAAATTTTTATTTTTATATGTGTGTATGTGTGTGTTTAATGCCGTTTACAACTTGAAAATAAGGAAGACATTCCAGTACCTAATAAGTGTATTTATATCCAACATTCATGCTAATAATATGCTGGTCTAATATGTCATTATTCACCTAGATGCTCCAGAAAGTTGGCTAGCTTTTCTTTAATTTCAGGGGGGGTTCTGAATATTGCTGCTGGAAATTTCAAGGGAAAAAAACCCCACCTTTTTGTAATGAAACTTCAGCAGACTTTTCGTCCTGAATCTCAACCAGCTTAGTTTCTAGTGGGGATTTAGCAATAAATGTGCTTTTCTCTACTCTCAGCACAAAACCTGAGATTAATTTTGCTGTGAAGTATCTTTCAGTCTTAATTAAAACTTAAGTTACCCATCCTGGTAAGATTGCCTGGACAGACAACGCTTACATATCCTACTCTGTTAAATTCTCGGGTGTTAAGAACAATATACTGCATGTAGTACTTAAAGCATAGTACTTAAAGCCTATGCTGTATATATGCAGTATTTTAAGATAATAAACAATTGCACTGTAGAAGGAAGAGTTAGAATTGGAGAGTGTTGTGTTAAATACAGGGAAAACAGGTGAAGTATGAGAATGTTTTCTCATACTCTGTAATGTCTTTAAACGCGATATCGTACAGTGAAACACTGGTACAGTGATAGGTGTAATGGAGCTATTCATGAGCTAAAAGACTGGCTTGTTGCAAGAAGTGGTTTTACAAGCCTAAACAGAACTGGACCGAAGTAATTCAAAGTCCTGTGGTGAAGTCGTGGAAGGCTGCTGAAGCATGGTTTCTTACGTAGCTATTAAGTACACTTTAAATTAATTATCTTCTCTTGATAACAGTATGTCTACTACCTGTTATATTTTATTAGCATTGCCTTATAGATGCTCATGGTTATTTTCTGTATTTCTCTTCTCCCCCATCTTAGTGGAATTGGTCGAAATTGGCCATGGGCCTCTGGCGGCAGCAGTATTTTGGCAGAATTTGGGACTTTGCATCTGGAGTTTGTACACTTGAGCCACCTGTCTGGAAATCCTGTCTTTGCTGAAAAGGTTAGACCGTTCAGTCAAAATCATGTTGTAAAAGATACATCACGTGTTGGGAGACTAATATCTCAGGGGAGAGATTTTCCGCAGTTAATAAGCATTTGTCACAGGAGGTAGATCTTTTCTGGATGTTTCCCTAATCACCTTGGTGTGTTTTCATATTATAAAGTCAAAAATCTGTTCCAAAATCATTGTGATGCATCTTCTTGTATATAGCACTTACTTGGCCCCATAAAACACTTTATTTCTGTTTATGTTCCAAATTAGTATCCCATTAAACAATCAGACCGTAGAGCTTTCTTCAGTACTTCACCTGAATGTGGTGAAAACAAAAATTGACTTTATATTGGGGATAATATGTGATGCCTATAGAAAGCAAAGCACCGTGGCTACTTTGTGTGAATTCAGCAAGTTTAGTCTTCAAAATGCTGTATAATATCGCTGCTGTCAGTGAGGTCAGAAAGCCCTTCTATTGCACTGACCTTTGAGAGATGTGCTTTGAACTTTCTTTGGGGGAAGAAAAAAAACAACCCACAAACAAACAAAAAAACATCCTTTGACAAAACAGTTACTGTGCTTACTAATTCTTCCGAAATTTTATAACATTGTCTTCTGGATACTTTTTATTTACGTGAGCCATGGAAAAAAGCAACTCCTCTTCTCCTTCCCTCAATTCCCCCCTAAGCAATTTTGCATTGTTTTTCAATGTGTAAATAGTAGGCAAGTCCTGTTCTTTATAATACACTGTATCATTTATCTTTTTTTTTCCTCATTAAAACTTCCACTTGTTTTGGTTTTGTATTCTTACTGCAACTGCCCCATGTTAGCTAAAATTGATACTATCTATCTAGTAATGTAATTAAAATGACATTCCAAATGTTTAGTGGTAGATTTAAAAGCAATGGTCAAATCTAAAGTGAATACTAGTTGTAGCAGACTAAAGGACTGAATGACTTTGCTGCAATACCATTGTCAGCACTGGAGTGAATTTTGTGAAACAAACTCCTAGCAATGTTAATTATTTAGGGGTGAATCTAAAGACGGAGTTTCTCTTAAATAGATCTGAACTGAGGCGGGGAGGGATGGGGTGGGTGGCAGCACCCAGGAAAAGCCAGAAACAAACTTACTATATAACTTAATTATCTTTTGACATTTATGGTAATTTAATGTATAACATCTGTTCTACTAAGAGACAGTTAAAGTGTGATGAAAGTGTGTATGTTAAAAATCCTAGCCTATGGTTCTCTTCCAAAGTGGCACTGAGCTATAGCTGCAAGATGCTGGAAATCTGTTTGTGTAAGCTGCTTTTAAAACCCTTTAGAGGCAGCGATTCCACAGCCTTCCGAGGCAAGACATTCCAGGGCTGGTACGCTTGATAAAGAAGAAGAAACACTGGAGTAAGCTTTGCATGGAAGAATTCATAGAAGAATTCATTAAATGAGGTCTAGGACTCGCAGCCTGCATTTGGGCCATGACTGTTAGCAATGTAGTGTCAAGATGCAGAAGGCAGTTTGTGTACCACAACAGAAATCCTTCTGCAGCTTGGTGTAAGCTAATTTATCTTCTTTCTCAGCAGCTAGTTCACTTGATCTCTAGGCATTCAGGGTGTTATAATGAAGCTGTCAGTACCTTTTTGTTACGATTTCTGGTCCGTGGTGCTCAGGATCTTCATTCTCCCAAGTTGCTACGCTTGCTTTTTCTGTGAATGTTAAAAATTCAGTATAAATTATTTCATGTGCCCTGCAATGGATTGTGCTGCTGAATGACTCCAGCTGCAGAGCATCTGGACTGTAATTGTTTCCCCGGGCCTCTCATTTGTAGCGAGCTCCTTAACAGTGCCTGCGGAGCGCTCAGGGCTGCGTGGGTTCCTGCTGGGCAGGCTGGCTGGATGAAGCTTTCCTTTCCAGGCAAAACTGCTTTACAATTCACTTCTGCATCTGAACTAGGTGATGGGCTTAATATTTAATACCACTTCTGATTTGGGTGTATGAGGAATATACGAAGTAGCTGAGCTTAGTTAAGGCAACTAGCCTCCGTGAATTTCGGTATGCTGTGGAGGGGCGAGACGCTTTGTATGGCAAGTCCCGAACTTCGGAGCTTGCTTCTGTTGTGTTGTCTCATTACTGACACTTGACACAGAAACTCGAGGTTTTGAGGAGCTTGTTTACGGGGCAATATCAGTTTAGAGGATCTTTTTTAACAGTAAGATGATTGCACAGAGGTATTCAGGTATACGTGTTGAACAAGACTATTTTTTTATTTTTAGGGATATTTGCGCTTTAAGATTTTTGTACCGACACTGTTTAATTTTGGGGGGGGGGAAATGGATCAGTGCTTAGTGTTTTGTACCCTTCCAATAGGTAATGAATATTCGAAAAGTTCTAAATCGACTGGATAAACCAGAGGGCCTTTACCCCAACTATCTGAATCCCAGCAGTGGCCAATGGGGCCAGCGTAAGTAGATCACTTCTTTGGTACTATGACCTGTCTATCAGTGTGCTGTTCACAGTTATTAACTTCTTTCAGTCGCTGTTACATGTCTTTTGTGTATGTATATATATATAAATATATGAAGAATTTTTTATAAAGTGTAAAAACTCACATTGTATCTGAGGTTCTGTACAATGTAAAAACTACTACAAATATAAAAATAATAATCCTACTTGCTGTTTTTTGATGTATTTTTCTTTGATCTTTCAGTATGGCTTCTGCAAGCCAGGAAATGTCTGAATATGTATCATTTTGGAAAGGAATTTGTAGACTACAAAAGCCTTTTATTCAAAAATCTAAAGTGCTCTCTAAAGTAGCTGTTTAAGGAAACATTGTCGGCTCATCTGAATCAAATTCCATATTTTTAGAGTGGTGTGGCTCCACTGAATATAAAAAAAAACCAAAAGTCTTTCCTGTTAATACCAGCTGTGACTTCTGTTGAAGTTTAATGCCAACAACTGAGGAAGCAAACTAAACAGAACTGTGTCCTGGCATTAATCCCCTTGGAACCATTACTGGAGACACCAAAATTAGAAGGGAAAGGGTATCATAAAATGCTTTTGAAGTATTTGAACTTCTTAGCCCCTTCCTGATGACTGAGCCTTTTCTTGTTGTACATTGCCTTCTCTGATCTTCCTAACATGTTCAAAGCCTACGCAGTGTGCAGGATCGCGATTCTAGAGATCCTACTTTTTCCACTTTTCCTACTTCAGTTCAGTCTACCACCATCCCATTCATGTGATTCAGTGTTCTCGTACTTTTTCCTCCCAGCATTATTGAAAGAAACCAAGCAAGATACACTGTCTTGGTCTGAAAAGACACGGTCAGATGAGATGGTCCTGTAGATTATCAGTGGTGGAGCTGGTTAGACAATACAAGAGAGGGAAAGGACTGGAGAAGTTTTTGAATATAACAGTTTGTTTAGGATGCAGCTAAGGTGGAAGTGAGGTTCTGGAGTCCTTATGGGACTGGCCATAGTCTGGATAGATAAGATAATTTTTGCAAAGGCAAAGCACGACTGTTTTATTGAATAAAATATATTTTTGAATGCTTTGTGTCACTCTCTGAATGAAAAAGATGTCCAAAAAGGTTGTGCTGCTCAGTTGTATTGTCCCATCAAGGCAAAGACCTTTTCCCTTTAGGAATTAGGAGTATGCCCGTCACTTTAGAAAGCCTTCTAGCCTGCTACGCTGTGAGGCTTCCTTCAGGTCACCGTGCCACAAGGCCTGTGGCAGCTCAGCATGCATAACCATCAACTCCGGTTGGCATGTTGGTGTAAACTCTGACATCCACTTACAGATCTGAGAGATGTGCGCCCACTTGTTACCCATGTTGGTTTAGCACAGCTTTGTAAAACATTAAAACCTCCACTAGAAGTGTTGATCCTACAGCAGTAGGCACTGGGTTTGGTTAGAAGGCCACCTCAGCATCTGCGAGCCAGGTCCAGTTACCTCCTTCCTCGGCTTCAGTCAGCCACAGAAACTCAGCTTTTTGGTGAGCCGCACGAGAGCAGATCTTTCTAGTAGCTGACACCATTAGTGGCTCTGCCTTACTTACTTTAAAGCAGTCCCTTAGTCTGCCTTATGGCCTTTGCCACTTCCCTATTTTTAGTATAATTGTGTCTTATGTAGTCCTTGTTCACATAAATGCCAGTTTTTGTTGGTGTGCACAAGAAAACCTAGAGTTTATACCAGCGTTGCTTTCCAGTAACACGTCGTATTGACAAAGCAGTAGCTTCCTGCACATGGAAATGACGGACAGATGGTGATGCAGGTCAGCCCCTAGCATGCTGAAGCAGCAAAAGCATCTTGTTGCATCTCTTCCAATTCAGTTGCCTCCGTTCGCAGACAGTGATGTATTAATTTTTTTTCCCATAGTAGAAGATCAGAATGTAAGACTTGAGAGATGTTTTATTTGAGATTGCTTTTCTAGGCTGTTTTCAGCGGATTACAAAAGGAAAAAAAACCAAAACCCTAGACTCTTAATTGGTACAAGACAGAAGTATTCTCTCTCAAACAGCAAGTGGGGAGGGAGTTATAGTTTCTGAACGTTTCTTCTCTAGCAGTGCTGTAACTGTGAAGGACACTGCTGGATCACTGCCATTGTTCTTGTAAATTCATTTAGCCCTTGTTATTTTGACAGTAAACTGACAGTGATTTGCTGCAGCATGCGTCAATTGGATTTGTCTACTGCAATAATGTATATAATAACAGGGCTTATTATTGATGAAACTGTGCTTGTGCTATTTAGTTTGCAAATGTCAGAGGTTTCTATGGTAATTTATTTAGGAAACCGTAAAGGTCATTTAAATGCTGCTGTTCAAAGATCAGCCCTTGATCATAGAAAATGTTCTCTTTTTTTTAAGAAGCCTCTTTTCCTTTTGGATCATGAACATTTAATTAAATAAATGGTGTATTCTTTCCAGAAATGTAATATATCTCATTCAGAAGAGGAAGGGGGAAAAAAGCTGTTTATAACCCAGGTTTGATGGTGCAATGTATTTGTTAGCCAAAGGGACAGGATACGTTTGGAAAGCTAAATTATTTTTTGTATGTCACAGGCTAGCGGAGGAAAAAGACACTGTTAATAAAGTTTGACTAGAAAAATGTATATCTTCTACATTTGTATGGCTTTGCAAACTATTCAGAAGGTGAAAGGAGGCATTCCATGAAGAGAAGATACTAAGGAGTTTAAAAATAAATTCTCTGTGTTCTTTTGAATTCCACCAACAGAGGCATAACTTTGAAGCTACGATCAGAGTTAGGTGTTGGGAAGTGTGAGCTCTGTACCACTAACCCTTCTGCATCTCGCTTTATGAGCCTGGATTACCCCATGCGTGTTTTGCTTTTCTCACACCCAGAATTTTGTGGTATGACTCATGGACTTGCTGCGTGATATACGTAACCACATCTCCATCCTGGATGTCTCGGGTGGAATTAGCAGGCCCCTTCCTCGCTGTAAAATTGAGGGTTATAAATGAGTAGTCCTGGTAAAGCACTTTGAAATCCTTTCGCTGAAGACTCGATAAATACCAAATCCCTTAATGTTACCAGGCAGCACCAACTTTAAAAAGAAAACCTCTAGCTAGTGTTCTTTGTTTAATGGAGCTTAGAGAAACACTTTACATATATATATGGTTTTAGTACTTCATGTGTTTAGGGGATCTATGCTGAAATCATGATAGCCCATTAAAATCTTGCCAAGAATCTTTTAGGCTCCTGGACAGCAAGTGAGTGCAGCCTTGTGCAGGCAGCTGAGAGCATCGCTAAGTCTCACATCACTGGTGCAACTGACACTGAACGGTCTGACTTGTGTGGTATTAGTGTTTGCAGAGTCATGTCCTAAACACATGCAGCTGAATAATCACAGCATCTGTAGTACTAGATCATTTCACTTAGTAAGCATCGGGTAGAATAAAGCAGTGTGATAGCAATAATCCTCTGTAGATGTAGCAAAGTGTTTTGTTTTGTTTTGTTTTTTTTCCTTCCAGAACCATGCTGAGTTCTGAGAGCAGCCAGATGTTCAAAAATGTAGTATTATTTTTAAACATATGGGTAGGTATTTTGAAATACCATTAAATAACCCGAAATTCAACTATGAAGTAAGGAGCTAAAACATTTTGGCCTTTTTTACAAAGTGACTTAAACGGAGCATTTTCTACTTCTTTTCCTAGGTTTAGAAAAAAAAGAACTTAGATTAACACATTTTTGTATGGGAAAGACTACATGAATTAGATGTTAAACATATAAATTCTTGTTTCTTTGCCATGAACTCCTATGGCATGCTGTGGATATTAAATAACTATGGTGCTTTAGCTTGATGAAAAAGTTAGCAATTAAAGAAATAATTGCCTGTGTATACCAGTTAAGTTTTTCCTGAGGTTCCAGGCTTACTTTTATTAAAGATTATTGTAGGACGAGATCATTAAACGCACTGTTTCAAACTGTAATTGTATTTTATTGCCCAGGCTGAAGATGAAATTGCTGTTCAATCTCTTTCTTCCCTTTTAAGATCACGTCTCCATTGGAGGGCTTGGGGATAGCTTTTATGAATATTTGCTCAAGGCATGGCTGATGTCGGACAAGACAGATGAAGAAGGCAAGAAAATGTATTATGATGCTGTTCAGGTAAATAAGATATTTAAGTCTTCCTTTCCATAATAATCTAATCTATAATAATCCTAAAGAGACAGGCTCTGGGGACAATGTGAGAGATTTATGTCTTTGCCACCACAGTGTGGATTTTTTTTACGAATTAGTTTCTCTTTTAAAAAGACTTCATCAAATATAAATGCTAGAGGAATACAGATACTGTGGGAAAGGGGAGAGTCTTGAAGTATAGCTATTTTTTTTCCAACTGCAATACAGTCAGTTCTCGCTTGATACTGGAGGAGAAAAGTATAAAATATGCAACAAAAAATGCATCCACAAGTAGCTCTCAGATACAAGTTCAGTTCTTTTTTCCTCAGACTTCCCTAAATATATTCCTTTTGTCCTTTTTCCTTATCCAGGAGGGAGTTCCTCTCTTGCGTTTTGACCTCATATTTCAGCCATTAGAGTATTTTGACTGTGGTCAACACAGGGATCGATATATTGTGGTAGATAATTATAAATGAAAATAGAAGGTTTTGTTGCACAATGACTTTTTGTTACAAGAGACATATATTTGCCAGCTTCTGTGAAACAGCCAATTATTCAAATCGGACACAAGAGAAAGTTTTCAAAAATCAGAATTGTTCATACTTACATTTCTATGTGGTATTTTATTTATGATCTTTCTGGTCTGCAGTTTGCTTTGTTATTGATGGTATTTCCTTAATATGCTGTTTTGGGAGAAATAATGGTTTTGTGATACCAGATTGAGACTTCGGAAGTATTAAGTTTGAATTTATATTTACAGGCTTTCCTTCAAGTCTTGGGCAAATGACCTATTTTCTTGGTTCTTTGCTTTCATATATATATATATATATATATATATATATAAAAAGAGGATAATATTACTTCTTTTTTTCCCATCCTTTCATCTGTTTTGACTAGAAGCTCTCTAGGGCCAGGACTTTTATCTCTTACTAACTGTATGTATGTACAGTGCCTCTGTAGACAAGGCTTCGAGATGCTAAGCAATATCTGCTTATTCTTTCATACATCTGGAAATGCACTGTCCCTAGGGAAGAAGCCTAAGTCTCCTTTTACTTCCCATACCGCAGAAAGTGGTGACATTAAAAAATAATGACCCTGGCTCATTGCAACTATCTTTTTTTTCATTAGGGAGAAAAGTCATATGTGATGATTTGAGGGAGGGTGTGATCTCTGGTAAATTTGACGGCCGAGTATCTTCTGCTAAGAAAATCCTGCCCTTAATTTTGTAAGTGCAGATTTGGATGCAGTCGGCCTCATTTTCACCACTAACGTGGTTTCAGCTTCAGAGCAAAAGGTGGATTTTAAATTAGGTTTGAGTGCATTTGAGGCTGTAACATAAGAACAGTGATACTGTAATAGCTCAGCCATTAGGTTGGCAGCCAAAAAGAGAGAACAAAGTGTCTGATAATACGATATCAATTCATCTTACCATGGAAGGCATTTTGAAGCACCTCAAAGCTGCTTCTAGTCTTCTACTTCCACTGGTTTAACGTTGTCAGGTTTTTCTTTTTAATACATTCTTACACAGGGTAAGTGCTAGTGCATAGACGCATGCGGTAAAACCGTGCTTTTGCTAGGACAGCTATTCTGGAAACAGCCGCAGGTAGAATATCCCAAATGCGGTGCAACCATCACCCTCGTTGGCAGGACCGTGAGCGCGTTGCTGGAGCGAGGTACATCTCTCTTGCCTTACACCACACAAGCCCCGTGGCGGCTGCGTGGTGGCGATGTGCCTGGGGCCCCCCCGAGCCAGCCCGAACCGTCCGACGGGTCGAGAGCTACCTGCCGTTGGCTGGCCGTCGGGAAAGAGGGACGGGAGTGCTCCGAGGTGCGTCCGTGCGGGGCGCAGCAGCGTGGTTTTGTTTAAACTCACACCTTGGCTATACCAGTGTAACAGCCTCCTCGGGTACGAAAGTTGTCGCAGGCATCGCGAGGTCCCAGCGGGGAGCAGAAGTGGTGATGGCCACCGCTCTGCACGGCCAGTTCTCCCTGCTCGGGATCGAGCTGCGGGAGCAGAATTGCCTGGTCAGCAGCATCACCAAATGTGGCAATATCAATGACAGGGTCTGAGCTCTGCTGCATGTGACTAAGATTTAAAGTACCCATTATCTTAATGTTTTTTAGTAGTACTAGCTCTTAAGCAGTCCAGGCATCGTGTCTGTCCAGAGTATCAGTGTTTGAGAGGGCCAAATGATCACTAAATACGTGCTAGATTTTGCCACGCTGCTGGTTGAATGCTATTCCCAGTACTTTCTGAGCAATGGCATTCCTGTCCTCTGTTTTCTATACCGAGGTGGATGTGTACCAAAGCTCAAAGTGTATTTGCAGCCTGTGGAGGTACAGCTTGATGTTGTAATGTAGCTTGTTCGGGAAACAGCAGGGAAGTTGCTTACAGAAACTTCAGACTGTTTGGTCCCCATTGAGATGCCAGGTTCTTCACTGGAGTAACTAGCCTGTTTTGAAATCCATCCTGATACTGGCTTTATTGCTATCGATCCCTTACTTATCTAAATTAAAGCTAATTTAAGTGTCTGCACAAGCTGCAGTCTTTCTTTATGACTAAGCCTACACGGTTTGGGCATTCTGAGTCTGCTTCATATTTTCTTAGATAAATTTCCCCCGACGCTTTCAGAATCTTTTTAAGACTACGCCAAAGGGAACAGCATGATTATTCCTGGCCGTTCGGTCCAGCACATACCCACCAAATTCTGAAAGAGTGATGTGAAGTTTTGATGCCTAATTCAATATCTTCTGCTATCCAGAAACCACAAATGAAAATATATGGTGAGTTATAGTTCGCTGTGAAAAGCTGAAATTTATTTAGATAAAGCTTTGGGGTTATTTCTTACGTTGTTCTGTAACTCATATTAAAAACAGAGTTCTTTCTATTAAAATTTTTGTTGCACCTATAGATTGTTTCATGGCTTAAATTAAAAGCAATAACCAAGATGTCAAACTAGATTTAAAAACTTTTTCTGCTTGCCATGAATAAGATGTGTATTTGGCTGATGCTATTAAGAACAGTTTATTTCTGATGGGAAAAGGGACAGAGATAGTCTTGTTTTGAATACCAGAGCATAATATGAATGTATTTTTAAGGCCATCAGAGGGATTCGTAAGTCCTAGAATTTGCACAACAAGGCAAGTGAATGTATTTTTAATCTAAGTTACTTTTCTCTTTGGAAAAGCAATGCATATAATGTCCTGTTTCACATAATAAAGGAAGTAAGAGATCTTCTTAAACTGGTTTCAATGGATAGCATGCAACATTTAGTTACAGAACAAACGTGCATTCAGCTTTTCGTCATATTTTGAGGATGTAACTGCCCGTAGGATAATCTATCAGTCTTTGCAAGTAACCGGGACAGGAACCATCCCACTCTTTTCAGTTAACACAGTTGACCTCTGAGACACAATTGAGTAGGTTTAGTAAGAGAACATGATAATTTAGAGCAAAAATGGACCTTGTGGGTTCACTTATACCTAGTCTAGCAACAGCAGTGTCACAAGCAACTGCGTCAAATCCTCCTCCTCTCTTGAGTGTGTCAGCCCTGAAAGTTGAAGGGCAGTTTTCCCGCTACTCCTGTTAATAGGTTTTCTCACACTTGATGTCCGATGGTCAGGTATCTTTTCCAAATTTTCCCATTGCATTTATTTATGGCCATTGGTGCAAGCTTTCTGCATCTTAAATATTTCTTCTTTCTCTCTCTGATGCCACCTTCATCCCCTCCTCAGTGTATTTGTAGAGAAGTGGCATATCTAAAGGCTGTAGAGAGTAGTAACTCAGCCTGGAAGAACTTCACAGGAAGAGGGAGAATCTCTTGCCAACAGTTCCCAAGAAGCTCAGTTCAGTGCAGCCCACGGTGGCCCTGTGGTATCGGAGAGGTAAAGCCACTGCGATCTGCAGTTTTACCTTTACACAGGGTAGTTTACTTTTAGACATTTAGATTGTTTAATTTTTTCTTACTGGGTAACAACTGCTTAGAAGATTGTAACAAGAAAACTAGTGATCTTCAGCGAACCTAGCACATGAAAGTAGAAAAAATGGAAATAGCACAAAGAAGAGTAGGTGTTGTGAAGCTGTTCTCTGCCAGATTTCAACAGCACTCCTGAAATTCAGCCTGCTGCTACACTGGGTTGGCGATTAAGGAATGCAGTAAACTTTTGTCGGTATCAAAAGGTGAAAAAGTCACTTTTGGCCTTGGGATTTTGAGTATTCAGACAGCAAATATATAGGATCGCTTTTTAATTTTTTATAATTTTTTTTTTGCACATTGCTAACTTTTGAGACTAGCCTTGATATACTCAGTTTGTACTCTGCCAGAGGAAGCTATATGGTTTTGATTTTGTTGGGGGGGTGGTATATTTAATTGTCATCATTAAGTAGTGAATGTATTCTGGGGCTGTTGAGATTTCAGCCTTTCAGATAAATAAAACAAATCCATGTAGACTCCTTTCTCATTGAAATGAGGGAGAGGACAACGTGTTCTTAGCAAACTGAAAACATGATATTGGCAGATAGGCCATTTTCATCTCCAGAGTTTCATGAGGGTCCATTTAACTGTGGTGACAGTCTGGTGGCTGGTCTGGGCTGACTGCAGTTTCCATTAAGTTGCTTGAAGTGGTTTGCTTTGTGATGGTAGTGATCTTAAAAACGACATAACTGATGTGGATAATGACAGAACTGCAAAAACTCAATTAGACTAGTTTGTCATACTGAGTAAAGCCAAAAGTAGATTAATGAATTGAACATTCAATACTTGAGCACTTCTTGGCATTGAAGGAAATACATAAATAGGGCAGGTGGTGCAATAGGAGCCCATCTTCAGAATGAAACAGTTGGTGCAGGGTGCCCAGCATTCCTACTGCATATATTCTGGGGGGAGGAAGGGAGGTATTGTCTATAATTTAAACATGTAAAAATGAATAAACAGGCAGTTTATTTACATATTTTGTCAGCTGTCATGTTTAAAATATTTATCACCCAG